TGAGCTAGACCTGTGCCTTTCTTGGCGTGAAGCAGATCCATGGCTGCCAGAGGAAGGGGACTGACCTGAGCTCCAACTTGATGGCTGTCTTGATGATGTGCCACGCTGCGTAGTGCCAGAAGTCTGACCTTGTTCACGTTTTTGTCCTGTGGAGCCTGACATCTCTCCAGATGTAGAACCATATTCACCTACACTAGAAGAATCTCCTGACCCCAAGTTGTTTTTCTTCTGGGTAGATGACCGGCTTGACCCTGAGTTATGTGTACTGTACCTTCTTGACTGACCTGAACAACAACCTGATGATTTTCCTGATTGTACATCATGTTTTTCTTTATCATAAGGCTGATATTGGCCAGATCCTTTTTTACTGCTGCCAGCAGACTGTCCTGATCCAGATCCATGTTGGTGGTTATCAGAAGTTTCCTTTGAATTACATCTCTTGCTGTTGCTTGACATGTGGTTTGATCCCGATCCATGTTGTCCCTCTTCATATTTCTCACTGTTTTTGAAGTGGCTTGAAGTTGACCTTCTTCTTTCTTCAGAACCTTGTTGGTTCCCTTTCCTTGGTTTTCTACAGTTAGACTCAGAATTGTGTTGACTTTTTCCTCTTGAACCCCTAGAATAAGCATCATTCTCTCCTGCACTGAAACTTGAAGAACTTGAAGAGGCATCTTGCTCTTTGTCGTCGTTTTCTTCTTCACTCTGTTCCTTTTGTTGCTGGTGACTGTGATTTCTTTGCTTTGACCCTGAAGCTTGGCAGTAATCTCTGCCAATAATTTTGTTACAAGCCTGAGATAGCTTGACTATCATGAGAAGATACTCAGTAAAGTCCACTTTGTTGTTATGATCTCGATCCAGGCTTTGCATGATGATTTCTACCGTGTCCGGATCATCTGGATTCTGTAATGAAATTCAGACAAATCGAGGCTCTGTAACTATAGATTGTAGAGTAAGCTTTCCCTTTGTGAGAAGTCTGTAGAAATGTCAATATTTAATAAATTAGATTGAAATTGAGTGCATAGTTCATTTGACTATGAAGAGGAGAGAGAGAGAGAGAGAGAGAGAGAGAGAGAGAGAGAGAACCTCTTGAGCATGTAGTCAAGCCGTAAATTGACAAGAAGAATTAGCCAGGTGGGGATACAATTGAAAGGTTGAAGCGAGCAAGTGGTCCAATCTTTTTTGATTAAAAAAAAGATAGTAGCTGATAAAAGTTCTTTGGAGGCCAGGCAAGTATGATCCTGAGTTTGCAAACAGCATGGGTAGTATGAAAAGTTCCTGAGTTCCTTGGAATAGAAAGTAAGGCTTTGTCAAAAAAAAAAATGAAGGAAGAAGCAAACAAAGAAAGGAAGGAAGTAAAGGGCAATGGGCATTAGTTAATCAAGGCTGATTAGCTAAAGTAGAAATAGTAATTGCAAACACCTGCATGAATTATATTTATATTTTTTTCCAGTTAGTTAATTTGCTAGTTACAGATTTTAAAACATTTTTTTTTGGGTGGGGTATGTGTTATTGCTGTCTACATAGCACTGTATTATGAAGGGTCTAAAGCAGAGAAGGATTTCAATGGTTATGCTGCACATTATGATACATGCCCCATATCCCATCCCTCTGTAGGTGGAGGCACTAACATCAGGAGTTCAAGGCCATTTTCTGCTACATAGCAAGTGTAAGGACTGACTACATTAGATGAGACTCTGTTTTAATAAAAATGAGCAAATCAATAAAACTTAAAAGGTAAAGTCTAGTGGTTTGATATACAAATGTATAATTTGTTATAACTAATATGAGTGCATCAAAGGGGAACCAATTGTGATTCAAGAAAGGTTAATGAGAGAATATGAAGTCCACTGAAGGATGGGTTAGAACTAGCTAAGTGACGAAAATGGCAGGAGGAAAGAATCGGGAGAAGATGCAGACAGAGGTGATGCTACGAACAAAGGGTGAAAGGGAAGAGAAGTGTGGTTTTATCTAAAGAACTTACAGGAATTCCAGAGTGCTAATTTAGTACAAGTAATAAAGGCATTCAGCTACAGAAATAAATGCAGACTAGATCATAACTTTTAAATCATGTTAAGGAATTTTGACTTTTATATTAAGAGCAGATGAGATATTTGGAATTTGTATGGTGAGATTAGAATAGAAAGTAGCCAGAATGAGAGAACTAGTGGTTTTGATGGAGAAAAGTAAAATGTTTTTAAAGTCCCTTTATGAACTGGACAGAGATTAGAAGGTGGTAATATATTCTGAGAATGAGGAAATCATTACTAATTCTGGAATTCCATATGGCATTAAGGCAGAAGGAATGAGTTGAGAGAGTAAGATGACCCTTATATTTGACATAAAAGACCTATAGTCATCCAAGTGGCAGTCAGTAAGCAGTTCCCACATGTTTCGTTTCAGAGCTAATAATTTTAAGTTGCTTTTTTTTTGGTGATTTATAGGTTAATACAAATTTTCTAAACTTAAGAGGCCTTAGATTACCAGAACCCTAGGAGCAGGCAGCAGTTTGGACTCTGCTCTAAAGAAAACAAAATGTAAGAATATGAATTCAATCTATTTTGCACATTTTCTGAGGTTCATAAGAATTGCTCTCATAGACACGAAATTTTTAAGTATATGAATGTGCCTGTTGTTTGATAGGGTCATTTTAACTTAATTATGTTATAGAAGCATTATTAGTCAGTGGTTTATGACATTTAAAGTCTGCCAAATTTAGTTCTCTATTACCAAATAGGAGAGTCTTCTCTGGTATTTGACATATAAACAAAAGGAAGAGAATTTCTTCAGCATTTAGTTCTGGTATAAAGTTCTTACCTTTAGAATTTGACGAAACTCATTTTCTAGAAGTTCTTTCATTTCTTTTGGGCTCAGCATGTCACATTTCCCATACTCAGTGGCGTACTGGTAGAAAACTTCGATGACAGTGACAATGCCTTGCAGGAGTTTAGGCATCTTGTTGCAAATTCAAGTGAAGCTAGATTGGGGAAGAAGAGATTGATCTCTTAGTGCTTAAACACATAACTACTTCCAGTCATTTGTGATAATTATCAGCCGTGATTAATTTTCTTTCTATACTAGTTAAGAATGAATTCAAAGTCGAATAACTTGTTCCAGCTGTGTAGCAAGAGAGTGATGAAATTAGAGCAGGTGCCCTATGTCTTATTTCAGTTCCTGAATGGAGGTAGGGGAGACTCTCCTTGTTGGGCTCCCTGATTTGTTCCGAAGCTATAGAAAACCTGAATGTGCTAATCCATCCATGCCTTAGTTCTTTTTAGGTCTCAACCATCACAGTACAGGGGACAGACATGTCTATCCAAGAGCTCCAGTGGCTAACTTGGATTTTCAGTTTCTAGGATAAAGAAAGTAGAAAAAAATGAGCAGAGCCAAATGCAGGGTAAGGTGATAGGAGCTGAGGGAGCTCCTATCAGACAGCTTCAATTTTCATTCTTCAATTAGGACTGTTTCTCAGGGATTTTTGCTTATACAGTAGAGAGAAAAATGAGACAAGCTGCCAAGGGCTTACTTACTAGGTTCCTAAACTCTCAAGAAAAGATCTCAGGTAGGTACTATAAACAGAGTATTTTTATATAAAAGTCCATCATATTATACTAAAAAGTAAGCTTTTGAATATAATGTGGACTTTAGTATTTAATATACTATACAATATATAAGACTATATAATTGGACTATAGTATTTAATAGTATTTATTGTCAGTAGAACTGAATGGCTGTTCACTTACCTGAGTCACCAGCGGAACAGCAGGATGGAGACTGATGTTGCTTGCAGGGTGCTGCTCATTGGAAACACTGGCCTTTATATAGGGACAATGATGGTCCATCCTAGGGAGGAGCTGCTTCCTTTGAGATGTCCTAGTTCACTCCTAAACAAGTCCAGCTCCTTCTCCATCTCCACCTCCCAGGTGTTTATCTTCTTACTTCCTTACATGTGAACTGGAGATTGCAATAGTAGTTCCCAAATCTGGGCTAGTACCAGCCCCACCTGTTGAACTCTTAGAACACTTTGCAGAAAGGCTTTTTTTTTTAAAAAAAAATTAAAATTGTGTGTGTGTGTGTGTGTGCGTGTGTACACCCAATGGTGTAATGTTGCATTGACAGCCAGATGTATACTTTAATAAAAGTTGAATGGAACAGCATGAGAATCCAAATGCAAAATAACCATGGAATTTGATGTTCAGAAGAAACCTGAAATATTACATAGTCAGATGCACCCACTTTAAACTAGTCTAATGTAAGAGATTCCAGCCAAGGTGACGTCTAGGATTTTATCAGCTCTTGGGAGCCAGTAGTAGCCTAGAGAGGGCTCCTCTTTCCATCTTTTGGTCTAATATACACAACTATTTGTGAATGTAGTTTTCTTTTTAACTACCATATAAACATAGCAAGAAGAAACATGTTTTTTAGGTCCCTCCTGATCTTGCCTGTGGCTTTTCTTAAATTCCATTGTTTCTATACATATATATTTACTTTTATGTCCCTCTGGTGTTAATTACTTCAACATATATTATTATTTCATCTTTTTTTCACTTGGATTACCTTTTAGCAGTATCTCTCTAGTGAATTACTATTTTTCACAATTAACTTCGGGGTTAACAGCATGCTTTTTCACCCCCAGTATTTTTCATTGATTCTAGAGATCAAATTCTGGTCTTGTTGCTTTTGAGGCAAGCATGTTACTGGCTGAACTATCTACCTATTCTGATTATATAGTTTTGTCAACCGTAAAATTTTATAATATTTCAAACCACTTTGTTATTATTAACATTATATAAAAAAATAGAAGACACAAAAATTGTGTGTACTCACAAAGGTGTGTCTATTTGCTTGTGAGAATCTAGAGATCAATGTCAGGCATCTTCTTTGATGACTTTCCATTTTTTGAGACAGGGTCTCACTGAAGTCAGCTATACTCTCTGGTCAGTGAGCTCTGGGGATTCTTGCACTTCCCCTATGTTAGGATTACAGGCACCCTATGACCATGCCTGGTCTTTTTTGGTTGGGGGGGGCGCTTAGGTGCTGAATCTGAACTCAAATACTCATAATTGTATGCTAATCATTTTACTGACTGAGTCCTTAATTCAGTCTCCAAACTAGAAAGTTGAAAACACTGACGAAGAAAGAAAAATCACCTTCCATCCTCCCTTCTCCCCACAACTCCATGCTTCCAATTTTCTCAGGAGATCTTTTCCCTTTCTGAGGGAGATCCATGCATTTTCTCTTAGGGTTCCCTTTGTTACCTAGCTTCTCTAGGGTCGTGGACTAGAAGCTGGTCATCCTTTGCCTTACATCTAATATCCACTTATGAGTGAGTACACACTGTGTTTGTCTTTCTGGGTCTGTGTTGCCTCACGCAAGATGCTTTTTTTCTAGTTCCATCCATTTGCCTGAAAATTTCAAGATATCATTGTTCTTTTTACCGCTGAGTAGTATTCCACTGTGTACCACATTTTCTTTATGCATTTTTTCGGTTCAGGATCATCTAGGTTGTTTCCAGGTTCTGTAGGAGGAGGAGAGGAGAAGGGGAGGTAGGAGGAGAACATGAGGGAATGGGATGGTCAAGATGAGGAAAGAACAGAGTGGGAGAGCAAGGAAAGAGATATCTTGATTGAGGGAGCCATTATGGGGCTAGGGAGAAACCCAGCACTAGGGAAATTCCCAGGCATCCACAAAGATGACCCCAGCTAAGACCCTCAGTAATAGTGGAAAGGGTGCCTGAACTGACCTTTTCCTGTAGTGAGATTGATAACTACCTTAATTTTCATCATAGAATCTTTATCTAGCCCTGATGGAAGCAGATGTAGAGATCCACAGTGAACATTGGGCTAAGCACCCATAGTCCGGTTTAAGAGAGGGAGGACCAATAATATGGGCAAAGGAGTCAAGACCATGATGGGGATGCCCACTCAAACAGTTTACCTAAGGTATGGGAGCTCACTGACTCTAGACTAGTAGTGGGGCAACCAGCACAGGATCAAGCTAGGCCCTCTGAATGTAGGTGACAGTTGTATGGCCATTGGCAGTGGGACCAGGATTTACCCCTAGTTCTTGAACTGGCTTTTTGGAGCTCATTCTCTTTGGAGGGATACCTTGCTCAGCCAAGATATAGTGGGAAGGGACTTAATCCTGCCTCAAAATGATGTGCTAGACTTTATTGACTCCCCATGGGAAGCTTCACCCTCTCTGAGGAGAGGATGGGAGGATAGGGGCAAGACAGAGGGAACAGGTGGAGAATAGGGAGCTGGAACTAGGATTGGTATGTAAAATGAGAAAAGAATGTTTTTTAATTAATTAATTAAAAAAGAAAAATCTTAGTACCTATAAATACACTAGAAAGAAATATCCATCACTAATTATTTGAGTTGCAAGTAACTTGGTTAATTATTCCTGTACACACATATTTTTCTACGCCTTATATAATTTCTAAACTCTGACTCCTTCCAGAACAGGAACTGGACATTACTAATCCCTGTGTCAGCTAGAGATCTAGGCTATTGCTCGGTGTGTCAAGTCTTTCAATAAACACTTACCACTTTGAGTCGAAGTAAAAAAGGATCAGGGTATGTCTTCAGACTTCTACACAGACAGACTAACCTACTCTCTTTTTCAGAACTAGGGTCTGTCTATTTTCTTGCCATATTCAGTGTAGAAGACACGATTTCACACAACTTTCAGTTAAATCTTAGTGTCGAGAATTAACAAGCTAGTCTCTGCTTACTCTTGAGGCTCTTATCCCCAAGTTTTATCCATTGAAAATGGATAACATGAATTCCATTGAAGATATCCCAAGTTATATGAATCTAAAATATGTATAATATAGTCATCAAATTTCAGCAGAGGTCACAGCAATTATTGGCAAATGACAAATTACATGATTCCAAAGTCAACTATCATTAGCCTGTTTTTTCCCTAGAAACTACCCGGAGGGTGAAAAGTCAATCTCTTCCACAGTTGTGCTTTCCTGGATGCCTGATTTGGGTCAGGTCGTCACACTACAGAAGCGCAATGACCTTCTTAAAGGTGTGACTGAGGCTGTGGGAGTGAAGAGAGGTGGAATTTGCTGAGTGAAGAGCTGTTATTCCAGAGGCAGGAAAGAGTTGTAAGGGGACTGTTGCTGACGAACACGCCTTTGAGGCCAGTGTTCTCCTAAACAAGATGTCAGCACATTTTCTATAATTGACTAGACAGCAAATATGATTGAATTTGTGGGTCAAATGATCTTTCTTGAAGCTATTCAATTTGGCTAGCCTATCATGAAAGCAGTTATAAATAATGCATTTTAAAATTATTTTATCTTAAAATAGATGCTTTGTCTGCATGTGTGTCTGTGTGTCTGGTGCCCATGGAGGCTAGATGAGGGTGTAGGTTCCTCCAGAACTGAAGTTACAGGTAGTTGTGAGCAGCCATCTGGATGCTGGAGATCAAACTCTGGGTCCTCTGACAGAGCAGCTGGTAAGTCTTCTTAACCTCTGAGCCTTCTCTCCAAACCCCATATACGATATTCGTATGAAAGGTTGTGTTTGGATAAAATTCACTTGTGGAGATGATTTTAGAAATCTGTATGCCATATACTCTCTCAACCAGTTGTAAATGTAGAAAAACATATTTATGGCAGTGGTTCTCAATCTGTGGGTTGCAGTCCATTTGGGGTTTGGATGATCCTTTTCATAGGAGTTTCCCTAAGACCATCAGAAAACACAGGTGTTTACACTACATTTTGTACCAAAATTGCAGTTATGAAGTAGAATAGAAATTATTTTAAGGTTGGGTGTAACTGGAGATAGCTCTTCCATTCCCAGCTGCTCAGACCTGAATAATCACACAAAACTATATTAATTACAACACTGCTGGGCCAATGATTTAGATGTGTTTTTAGCTAGCTTTTATATCTTAAATTAACCCATTTTTATTAATCTGTGTATTACCATGAGGCTGTGGCCTACTGGTAAGGTTCCAGTTTCTGTCTCCTTTGGCAGCTACATGGCATCTCCTTGACTCTGCCTACTTTCTGTTTGGACTTTTCACCTGGTTTTACTCTGCTAAGCCATTGGTCAAAAGAACATTTTTATTAACCAATGGTCATAAAACATATTCATATCATACAGAGGGGAATCCCACATCATCTCCCCTTTTCTGTCTAAATGGTCCAAATGTGGGCCAACAATATCCACATAAAACCTGAGAGAGCTTAAAAAATTCTGGACACACACACACACAAACACACACACACACACACACACAACAGAGTTAAGCATGGCTTCTTGGCAGCAGCATTTTCTCAGATGGATTCTGTTTGCTAGAGGCAAATAGAGGCAATATTTCTTTAAGAGCTGGCTTTCTGGTTCATATTGGTATGGTTATGGAGCAATTAAATGGGGTCTGTGAACAATGTAACAAGTGTGTTACAAATGACCCTATGTCTCTGGAGCTGGGGCAGTGTGCATAGCTCACAGAGGTGATAAACACACCTCCACCATGTTGGACTGGGCGGGGCCAACAAAAAGTGCCATGGAGCTGGTCCTAGTCATGTCCACTTAGCATTAAAAAGAAGGCACTCCTGGTCAAAAAATGATTGATTACAGGTAACCAATAAAGACAAATTCAGACAAAGGTAAACCTCTAAATAGGTCATAGTGTGTTTTTAAAAAAAATGTACATAGGCTTGGGAGAGAGAAGAAAAAGAGTATAAAACGAAATAGTTTTAAAAAAATAAAACAAAGTCTTTAAAGAGACAGAGTATAGATAGTCATAGATTAAACGACTAAAGAAAAATAA